CTGAAACAAATGCTATGATTAATAAAGATCAACGATTTGTTTACTTCTCGTTTTCATCTCATTTATGTCCACCACGGATTACTTAACTCTTAACTCAATCAGACTCTATCACCGTCGCTACTGGCCACAGCGACGAACTTATTTCATTATCTAAATCTGATTTCTACACCCACCATGGGTTAAGTGCGCTATATAAATTGGTAATCCCTATAGGAGCGACCATGTCGTTGTAATACATGGTCGTAAATCGAAGTGATTGACCCAAAACCCAGCAAACCTCACTGGTATCATCGCAAAATGTTCATTATAGGAGCGACCGTATCGTTCTAATACACGCCTGTAAACAAAAATGTTCATTCAAAAACCCAACAAACAAATCGTTGGTCTCTACGCGATAACATGTTCATTATAGGAGCGGCCGTGTCGATATAATACATGGTCGTAAACTGAAATGATCATCATAAAATCCAACAAACAAATCGTTGGTCTTTACACAATAACGTGTTCATTCTTGGAGCGGCCGCGTCGATAGAGGCTCTGCCGTAAACCAAGAAGTTCATCAGAAAACCCAACAATTTAATCGTTGGTCATTACGCAATAACATATTCATTTCGGAGCGGGCGCTTCGATGGAGGTTCGCCCGTAAACCAAGAAGTTCATCAGAAAACCCAACTTAATTGTTGGTCATTATGCAATAACTTGGCCATTCTCAGAGCAGGTACATCAACCCGAACTCGCCCATAAACTGAAACGATCATCATAAAACCCAGCTAACTTATCGTTGGTCCCAACAACAATGTAGCCAATCTTTGAAAGTAGATCAATCAATAACAGCCTGCCTGAAAACAGGACAAACATTGTTCAGACTTAAACTAGTATTCTTACAACGCCAACATAGCTGGAGAAGGTTTGTCAAACCATAGACGGCGTCAAAGTCAGTAAATATGAACAAGTCATTGGCTTGTCAAATAAGCAGTCAGGCTCATCAGCGTCACGGGCTAAAGACTTAGCAACAAAACGGTCCATCCGAAAGACAAGAACGAGAATCGTAAAAGCTGCAATCATAAATTCTATCTCAAAAAACAATGACACATCCAAACAAAAGGATAAACACCATCCAAGCTGAATGAAGTACTAAGTCTGAAATCAAAAGTATGACAAAATGCTAAAACAACAAAAAAACTAAGACGCGATCTACTCAACGTCATCGACAATCTCAACGGCTTCCTGAGGACGAACTTTGGCCGCTGAGTCTGACAAATCCTCATCGCTTGATGAATCAGAAGAGCTTGAACCCGAGTTAGCACCCGACTCATCGGCATTTGCGTCCAATTCCTCAACTCGATCTTCAGTCGTACTAACAGGCGAATCCTTAAGGATCCCTTCAAGTTTGCGCACATGCTTAGCAAATGCCTTATCTGCAAGTGATAGGCCCGCCTTTTACTTCTTGAGGTCAACGAGCTCTTCACCAAGATCAGGCGCCTTGTCACTCTAAAGCAATTTTACGAACACAATGTTACTCCGAACTTCAACAAGATCAATTATGTCAAACCTCGACTAGTCGTTGATCATTTTGATCTTCTCTGTAGCGCGATCGATCTTCGCCTCGTACCTCGCCTCCAGCTCGCGCTTCGCTTCTTCAACAGCCCGCTGCACAGCCGCATCCTGAAGCTTGGCGGCAATGTCTAGGCGGTTGGTAAGGTCAGCAACTTCTTTCTTCAGGCACCTCTTCTCAGCTTTTGACTCTGTAAACGTCCCATCCATCTCACGACGCGTATCCTTGGTTTCCTTCACGGTAGCTTCGAGATTAGCGACGCGGTCTTCGGCACTCCTTTTTTATTTCTTAAAGTCATCACAAGCCTTCTAAATGTTAGCAAGTTGACGAGTCTACGAACGAGCAGTCACCTCATAGTCAATGGCGAGCTTGTTAAGCAAAGAAAGGAACTGCCAAACAAAGAAACAGATCGCTAGAAACAAGTTAGAAGATCGAAATGAAAGAAAAAGGAAAATCGCAATCCTACAAGAGTTGTCACGAAGTCATACCGTCATGCAATTAAAAGCCATCTTTGAGTAAGAACTCTTCTTCGACATCTCTCCTCGAGGGGGAAACTTAGTGCCTGGGAAAACGATCTTGGACAAATGTGACGCCGCCCACGCAGCATCACTGAAGGACTCCTTTGAACCAAAGGAAAAGGTCGGATCCATCACCACGTGATCTGATATGTTCCATATTTTACCTATTTTACTATCTATTTTACTATGTTTTCTATGCATTTATCTACGGTATTACGCCTTTAGCGTATTTGTAGTTTTAGAGTCTTAATAGGAAAATCACTCAAAAAGGACCAAAAGAGGTATAAACCAAGCTACAGAAACTTTCATCAGCCAAAGACATCATCAAGACCAAAGAATTCACAAGGTACCACAATCTACCAATTTGGACAGAACATATACTCAAGAAATTTAGCAGTAAACAGAGGATCAAATCAGCTTGGAATTAGATGAAATTTGGTCAGACGATAGATCTTTGAGTTAGCTTCACAAAGGAGTTTGAATCATATCATTTGGAGCTGTGAGCCGGAAGATGCACCAGATTTAATGAAGACATGTCAAACTGCCTCAGAGCTGAAGCAAGTCTAATATCGGACCAAACACCGGCCCAAGCCGTGGACCGTTGTTCAAGCCCGATGTCAGCACAAAATAAAGGTCATTTTACTCCCAACACCGGTCACGACTTTGGACGGATGCTCGTGACCGATGGTTTAGGCAGTTTCGACCAAATTGCATTTTTTTGCCCTAAAGTTAACCCTAAAAGACCCTAAACCTATATATACTTGTTTTAGCCTCTTGTTAGGGGTGTGCCAAAACATAGAGTAGATTTATCATAAAGAAACAGCCACCACGAGTTCTCTTGGTGTTCTTCATTAGATTTAGATTTTAGAGCAATCCGGTGGATGATCTCGCTTTGTACCTTGATA